ATTTGAGAAAAAGAAAATTTTAAATTTGTGAAAATGTTTGCTAAAAAAGTTATAAAAGCTCTATTAGCGTTAGCAACGAAAAAACATTAAATATGTTTTTATGAAAAGAAATCGTTATTTCATTGTTTTAATGTTTTAATGATGCGAAAACATTATGAATTTATATCTTAATTAAACGAATGAAACAAAAAAAAAAAAAATTGAAAGCTTATGAAATTCTTTAAAATAAACTTGATGTAATAATAAAAAAAATATTTAAGTTTTACAGACGCGAAATATCGTGCTGGACAATTTTCTTAATGCCAAGGCCTGTTATATCAATCAATGGTAACCCTCTTACTGAGTTCTCTTTTTCATGTCTTCTTGGAATATTGTTTACTTCTGATCTCTCATGGAAGCAATATATGCATTAGGTTGCAAAGTTAGCATCTGCTATTAATGCTTCTCTTTATGGTGCATGCCATTATCTTACTCCTGATTCCATTCTCTACCTCTACAAATCTCTTATTTGTCCCTGTATAGAATACTTTTATCATATTTTGGCAGGTTCTTCTAATGATACTCTTTCTCTTCTAGACAAGGTCCAAAAATGCATTATAAACGTATTTTATACCTGCTAAGCTTGAGCCTCTTTCCAATCGTCATAAATTTCTCTTTTCTCTTTTTTACAAATGCTATCATGGACACTATTCATAGGAACTATTATTCCTAGTTCCATCATTCTTGCTCAACTCATCATTCTTCAAAGCCTCATTCATTTTAGGCTTTGTATCTGTCTGTATCTGTCCCTGCATACTCTAAAATTTTTTACTTGTCTAGTTTTTTCCCCTGCACTTTAACCCTTCAGAACTCTCTCCTTTCTTCATGTTCTCCTGACTCATACAACCTACAACTTCTCAAGTCTTCTGTCAACCATTTCCTTGCTCTATTAATCTATTCTTTTTTTTACTAGGAAGTCCCAAATTAATTGTGGTTGCTTGCAGCCTTGTTGGGATTGAATCAGGAGAAAAAAAAAAACTCTTTCTCAACTCTAAAACTTCAAAACACAAACCTCGATGAACAAGGCTGCTGTGCAAAGAAACAAATTCAACATTGTACCAGGAATGTGGATTGTTTCCACAGAAGTAATTTGGTTTTGTGGTCAGTGGTGAAATTTGTTGATAATTTTTGTAATATTTTCTTATATTACGCATTGTATTGATTTGAGGTATGCTAGATAAAATTTTGAATGCAAAATAAATTTTGTTGTTTTTGTAGGTTTAAATTTAGAAACATATATTTTTAAAATTTTCAATTAAATAAAAATTAAATTTTTTAAATGGTTTATCGAGGCTTATGAATATGCTTACATATGCCTTTTTTTTTTTCTAAATCAGAGCCTTCATATGCTTATAAACGTTATGCTTATAAAAAAAACATGTATTCAACTTTACTTTTTTCATTGTTGGTTCAGCAGGTACACTAATATCTGTTGCATGTATTTTCTTTTTACATCTTTTTATAATTGTAGTTTCTTGGCCTTTATATTTAAAAAAAACTAAAGTCAACACCTTTATTCAATAGAAACTGTTTTACTATTTTACCTCCATTTCTAGTTATAACTCCATTACTGTTAATGATACTGTATTTTTGTGCTAGTTCAGTAAAATTAATTTTTGTGCCAGACGCATAAGAGATTACTTCCCTCCAACATTCGTTTTCATTCCATTTATTTTTGTAGTTTCCATTATGATCTTTTTTTATTGTGATTTTTATTTTTATTACAAACTGTTGAATCTGCAAATGATTCAAAGCTTTAATTCATACGTATTTTTTTACCCTTCCGCAAAGATACCTCAGTCCCAAATGCCCTATAAATTAAGTCAATTTGAATCTATTAAACAATTTTAAATAAAATTAAATTTAAACTTTTTTCAAAATTATGTACCTTACAACTGATGTTTCGGCGCTACTGCAGTTTCCCCCCCCCCCCCCTCCTTTTTTTTTTATTTTTTATTGTTGATTATGATACAGAATTTTATGCTGATTAAGAATCATATAAAAACATAGGTCTGAAAATCGACAGAAAGTACACTAAAAAACGCTAATATTCGCCATTTTATAAAAACGTTTTACATCAAAGTTTACATTTTGAAATTTTTTTATTACACGACCCGGTTTTTATTGTCATCAAAATTAAACTATAATTAAATGTTTTTAGGAATATATTTTATATATTTTTAATTAGTTTTTAAAAATAATATAAGATACTGATTTTTAAATGTATATAAATCGATGGAAAAATAGGGATTGGCGCAATTAAATGTGCATACATCGACTGATAAATAGGGATTGGCACAACTAAATGCACATACATCAACTGACAAATAGGGATTGGCGCGATTAAACGTACATGATTTGGGCAGGGCCTTCGAGAGGGGGGGGCAAATTGACCCGGGCGCCAAGCTTGAAGGGGCGCTGGACAACTCGTTGGTTTTTTTTTGTTTTTTTTTTACAATAAATAGAAAACATTTTAATGATTGACAATTTAAAATCTGCTTAGATTTTGTATTTGAGGTTGAAACTTTAGTATTCGGAATAAAAATGCACAAAACTTTAATTTTAAATTCTGTTATTATAATTAATTATAAACTATTTTTTATGAAAAAAATAGAATTTAGTTGTAGTTGAACACGAAACTGGGCGTATTCCGTAAGCCTATGTACAGTTAGCTATGCAAGCTCGTGCTTGATTGTACGGAAGATAATGCGCTGTGGTAGTTATAATAGTAGGTAATCAAATATCGGTTTGAAGTTAACACTGATAGCGCAGACACTTTGTTAGGTAGTACGCTCCACGGTTGAGCAACGCGGACGTTGAAGAAGTTGAAGTGAACGAGACATTTCACTATAAAAAGCGCTACTTTTTCCGGTCAGTTATCAAGTATTTGAGTTTTTGCATCAAGTTTAGAATAGACGGAATGCCTACTTTAAGCCCAATAAGAAAAAAATAGTTTTTTCCTCAAATCGTTGGTGGAAATGGCGAAATTTCAATTCAATGCGTTGGTAAAACTTGCTGAAAAGAGGCTTCTGGTTAACGGTTAGGATAAGTGTTTATGATGATTAAATAAGTATTTAGTTAAACAAGTTAATTGATAAATAATGAGTTTTATTTTGTTTTATAGTTGATAATTAAAAGTTAAACAAGTTGGTTAATAATTTAAAAAAGATTTTGAAAGTTTTATATATATATTTTCTAGATATTGGTAGCGCGCTTGCCTCAGAAGCATGAGATTAGTGGTTCAAAGACATCTCTGAGCAAGTTTTGCGAGATTGGTTAGGAATGAGGTGTTCAGTAATAAGACCGTAAGGACTTTTTAAGACACTTTAAAAACATTTTAAAAAATTAGAATTTTTCAATTGTTATTTTTGCGGTTGCTAAGTTAGGAAAAAAAACAAGCAAATATTTTGTTTACAACGGAGTGTCCCTTGGGACTTGATGTAACGGTCTATCGCTGACGTCTTTTAACCCTTTGAGCGCGGGGAGCCACGATCGTGGCTTTACCGTCAGAGCAAGTAGAGCCATGATCGTGGCTTTATAAGTGTTCTTTAGAGTAAAGATTTTTTTTACAAAAGTACCACTGTTCATAAATTAAAAATAATACCATTGAATTGAGCACATTTTTTTCTGTATTTTGGTATAATGTTTGTGCATATTTTGCGTGACAGCGAAGAAAGTTTTATAGAAAAAGAAAGCTGTACAAGAGAATAAAATTTAAGTAGCAGCAATGATGAATGAAAGCAAAATTATTTTTATCAAATAATTGTATACAATATTATTTAATTCAAATCACCAAATATAAGCATTTGAAGTTTTTATTTTACTGTAGACTCCGGTTTTGATAGTGATGCTGTTGTTGATTATGTTTTAGATTTGTCGCTCCCTGTTGTATGCTTTTCTAATTATCACACATAATAATCAATTATGTTGGATGCTTTTCTAATTATTAAACAGCAGTTATGAATAAAATACATTAAATTCATTTAGAAACTACAAAAAATAAACTAAAATTCAAAATAGTTGTTTTTGATTTTTTTTTTTTTTTAAGTTGAATTTCTCCGTACGACGCACGTAGGAGTATTTGACAATTTTAGCTGGCCAAAATTATTTCTCTCTTTTTAACAGCTGAAAACTTTACCATATGACAAGAAATTGTAAATTAAATGTTTTTTGTACAAATCCAAGCCAGTGGCGTTCAATATAGGGGAAAGATGGGTACTTTAGGGATTACATTTTATTCTATTCAATAGGATTTGAGGAAATAAAAGATATATTATTTTTCAAACTTTATTATGGTAAATAACATACTATATTTTGATATTTAATTAGATTCCACTTCGTCATTGTCAGAATATTCTTCATTTTCGTTGTTTTCAGTGTCGGAATCTTGGACTTCTCCAGAAAGAAGCAATTCCACAGCTTCTTTTGAAAAAGGCTTTGTAAGTTTGTGTTTCTTTTTCCCAATGCTGGACAACAGAGGGTCGGATGTTAACAATAACCTATTGATGATATCTTGGTTACAATCTTTTCTAAAAAATATTTTAGCATAGCTAAGTCTGTACTCCCGGAAATGTTTGTTTCTGGCTTCGGCAGACTCTTCCGACAATTGTCCAATTGGCAAAAGCACATTCTCTACTATATCAGGACCATGTACTAAAACTTTATGCAGAGTTGGAGTCATTGGACACCAGGGGTATAGTTCAACATAAAGCTTTGCAGTATCCAAAGTATACTGTCTGAATTTTTCTACATCAATCTTGTGGCCACTGGAAATTACTTCTAGGATAATTTTCATTCTGGAAATTAAACGGAAGTCTACTTCAGTGATATCTGCAGATGTTTCCGGGTCGTTGAAGAATCTCCTGCTTGTGTTGCCGTTATTAGTATTCCCAAATCCAACCTTAGGTATGTCGACAAGAATGCCCATTTTGCCCTTGAATTCATCTTGGATTTTCTTTTTCCTATCTGAGATGAGTCTCATCTTCATTCAGCCTTTTCTGCCATTTTTTTACAGGCAATTTATATGATAGGTGAAGAAGACTTTCAAAACACCGTATTCTAGCATGCAGAATGGATAGTCCAAATTTGTAGCTGCTTTGATTGTCAACACATGTTCTGTCCAAATCATTAAATTGTCTTGATGTTGCCCCACAAATATAACATCGCATGGTCGATTTAGTGGTGGTTGCTGCGTTACAGACTTTTCCGTCAATCATAGTTAACATCATCACATGTTCTACTACTATGTCTTGAAGTTGAGTTAGTTTCAAGCCTGCAAAGTTTTCCATGTAAGCAATTTCTTCAGCTATTACATCAGCAGTTTCTTTTATGAACCGAATTGGCCTGCAAAACCTTGGAGACGATGGTGTAGGGTTTTTGCCAGAGAACCTTTTTATTTACTCCACAAGTTAGCTGTAATGGGACCATTGAGCATTGAAATATACTGGCATCAGAATTAGAGTCATCCTCAAACTTTTGATTAAACTGTGTCTGCTGGGAGCCATCACAACCCCATTTCGTAGATAATTTCATATGTTTACGCCCACTTTCCGTTAGAGTCTTGATAACTTCTTCTAAATACAACACCAATCTTTTGGCAGTATGGTTTAACAGACTTTGTAAGTCTACTTCAGCTAAACCTTCTGTGACTGTGAGCGAATCAGGATCAGGATAGCATGTTTTTTTTTCTTCGACCAAAATACTGTAGCAGGGCCATTGCTTCTTGTCACTTGTACGTACGATTTCATATTGAGATTTTGTTAGGCCTGCGTCAGTAAATATTAAAAGAGCCTCTAACGGTGTCAATGATTTTTTTGTAGGTTCAAGACTGCTGCGATAGGCTTTTTTATACTTTCCCGCTCGTTTGGGAGATGTTTTAAGATCTTTGAGGACGGTTGCAGCACTTCTTTTGCCACTTGTTGTCAAACAAGTTTCAGCTGCAAAAACAATAGCTTCTGGTTCCACATCTTTCCTGAGCTGTTCTGTTTTTCTCCTCTTTGAACGTTCACTAGAATCGACAAAACTTTTTCTTGGTCGTCCGGCTGATGATGGAGTGGATGGGGTACCCGGTATTTGGAAACTCCCTTGCAGCCAAGGGCCATGCTTCTTAATAAATATTTCATGAGTTCTGGATGAAGACGACCACATTTTTCTAAAAATAGCTTTCAACCTCGACATTTGACGCTTGTATACTGTTTTTAGTTCTTCGGTATATTGATTTCTTGATAACAAATTTTGATCAGCTAAGTCCATTTTTTCATTGAAATTTGGAGCCTCCTGCTGCTGAATACTGTTGTAGAAATCCAAACGAGAGATTGTTTGCATTCCTGATGACCCATCTAGAAAAAAAAAATTAAGTTGAAAAATTCATCTTGGACCTTAAATGTTTTTAGATGGCATCAACAGGCAGTTGATGCCATCTATATATATATATATATATATATATATATATATATATATATATATATATATATATATATATATATATATATATATATATATATATATATATATATATATATATATATATATATATATAACCCTGACCTTGATGTGCTTAGAACATGATTAAAATTTAGATGGCATCAACAGGCAGTTGAAATTAAGATTTTTAAATAGCTAGTGGTATAAACTCATAGAAAAACGAAAAAAACTAAAAGGGTTTCAATGCGCACTACAATTTTTTCAATTTTAAAGTCAAAATTTACTTTAAAATTCGTTAAAAAAATGCTAAGTTTCATGGTACATAACTTTTGTGGTAATTAATATTTCAAAACGGTAGTAAGAGTAAATAATGTACATACCTGTCATAGATTCATCCATGATATAACACTGTAAAACTTCTGTTGTAAACACTTGTACACAGCTTCAATAAACACCACTAAAATCGCTCGTAAATAAAATGAACCACGCAGATATAGATCGGATATTTAACTAGACTGTGTAGTTCCAATTACTACTCTTATAACCAAACCATCAACTGCTCATTAAGCGACCATTATCGAGAGATAATAAGGGTAGGTAATTAAGTGGGTACGGCCACTTTTAATAATTCCAATTTTGGCCAGCTAAAATCGTCAAATACTCCTACGTGCGACGTTTAAATTTTATCTCGCGCTCAAAGGGTATTGTATTGAAAAGAACAAATTTGCTTGAAATAAAAATATTTTAAACTGTGTCTTCAACGATAAAAAATTAGTCAATAGTTTTTAAACGAAAGAAAACAAATACACAAAAAGCAGTGGCTGTTGCAAACACTCTAACACCAAACCGTAAATAAGTAAAATACAATTATATTATGTTCTTTTATAACGATAGTTCTATAAAAAAAAAATATTTTTTTTTATAGAACTATTGGTTCTATAAAAAAAATATGTTTTTTTCGAGTAAAATTTCCAATCTGTATAAATGCGGAAATATGATATTGAAACCTTTGTTTAAAAACTAATTATAAATTACAAAACATTTTAGGTGTTTCCAAAAAATGGTTCGAAAGAAATCTTCCGGCGCTCAAAACCGTGCTAAAGCTACTAAAAAAGTAGCAGAAGAAGCAAAAAATAGACAGACTTTAGAAGATATGGGATTTATAACAATAACGCAGACCAAAGAAAATGCCTCTTTTCCAGTAAGTAAACTGTTTTTTGTATCATTTTTTTCCTTCTAACAACCTCTGGTATTGTAATCTTTGTTGTTATAACTAACTTTTTTCCTTAAGGATCTCTCTTATAATGACCATGACTCCCAGTCAGTCTATGAGTGCCAAAAGGAACCAATTAGCTCTTCTCCTCTTTTAAGATCACCTGCTGCACTTAAAATGTGCAATTTGCAAGGCTGTGGATCAGTGGGGATCTTAAACAATTCACCTGAAGCTGAGCTAAATGAATTTCAAAGTGACTCATTAGAGTCAGAAGGAAGAACCTTATCCAACAGGGAAGAATGTAATGCTCAACCTGATTTGGTAACAATTAATGATGACCCCTCTTTGTGGCCAGTTGTTTTATGTCAAAAAGATCGAGATGTAATCATTTTAAAGGGACCCCCTACACATTCTTTGAAGCAACGAGACTATCCCCGTGATTCTAAGAAAAGAATTTTTCTTTTGAATGTGTTTTATCAATCTTTGCTTAATAAGGAAAAAGTAGAAAGAGACTTTTTGGTTTGGAGCTCGATCTCCAAGGCTCTCTACTGTTTTCCTTGCTCACTCTTAGGCACGAAAGCAGCATTCAAATGCAGGGAATCGTCCTTCTTCGTTGGAACGGAGGAGCTAGAGATCAATGGAGGAAACTCATAGATCGTGTGAAGCAGCATCAATCCAGCTCATTGCACCAAAAGTTCTACATGGATTGGAAAGACGCATACGCTCGTCTTACCAGTTCCACTGGTATAGATTCAGAGCTCCAGAAGCAAATCAATTCTGAAACAGGTAAATGGAGGACAATTCTTCGTGGAATTTTGGATGTGAATCTTTTCTTAGCTTCTAGGAATTTAGCTTTTCTAGGTAACTTATTATAAGGTTCTTTCAATATCAATTTAATTATTTATATAATTATTTTAATAGTTATAACTATTATATACTATTATGTTTGCAGGTGAAACAACACACGTGAATGGGAAAGGAAATGGAAACTTTCTTGCCGGTACGGAGCTTATCGGTCGCCACAACCCCGTCATTCTATCTCACTTGGAAGATGTAAGACGCCATCAACCAGAGGGCTCCAGAATGAGTGCTCATTACCTCTCTCCATCGTCTCAAAATGAGTTCATCAAAGAATGTGGTGGTGTTATCTGAAGTGCAGCTGTCAAAGAAATTCAGGACGGTATCTACTTCACCTTTATTGTCGATGGTGCCCCCGATACATCTCACACTTGCAAGGCTAGGTTTGGATATTCAAAACTGTAGCGGTCAGGGATAGATAATGGATACAATATGTCAGGTCTTTACAAGGGAGCTCAAGCCTTAATAAGACAAAGTTATTCGGAAGCTCTGTACGTTCCATGTAGCGCTCACAATCTGAATTTGGCTGGTGTGCACGCAGTTGAATCAGCCATTGAGATCAAAGTATTCTTTGGAAACGTCGAATCTTTGTACGCATTTTTTAGTGCAAGTCCTGCCCGATGGAAGATCCTCACTGAAGGGACAGGAATTTCACTGCATAAACTTTCTATGACAAGATTGAGTTTTCTTATCGACGCGATCAAACCACTTGCCAAAAGACCAAGAGAAATGTTGGCAGCTCATAAAAATGCTATGGAAAACCTGGATCTGACGAGTGAGTAGTTAAGCCAAGCAAAAGCCTTAAAAAAATGGTTATCATCTTTTGAATTTGTATTGCTAATTACGATTTAGTACAAAACCCTTACTGCTGTTAATGACGTTAGTCGTCTTCTACAATCTGAAGCCATTACCACCGATGACGAGCTACGTTTGATTAGACAGCTGCTAGAAGATCTTAAACAGATTAGAGGCTCTTGGTTACAAATTTTCCAACAGGCTGTAGCTGTAGCTAGACCGCTAGGATTTGAAACTGAACTTGCTACTAAAAGAAAGCGCAAACTAAAGCGCTTTTATGATGAGGCATCAAACACAGCCTATTTCCACGACAGCCAAACGAAAGAATTCGAAGTGAACGTTTTTAATGTTGGTTTAGATAGTCTGATCCAGCAGATTGATTCAAGATTTGAGGCAAGCAGGATGGTTGCCAATATGTTTTCATTCATCTGGTTGGACAATGATGATCTTTCTGTTCAAAGTAAAGCTTGCGAGCTTGCACAATTTTATCCGAGAGATGTCAACAAAGAGGATCTCATTGAAGAAGTTTGCCGTTTTAAAAATGCCCGCAAAACAATTTTCAAGCAAGGAAACCCACTGCAACTACTTAACCAAATTTTCAAGAAGAAGCTTGAACGTCTTTTTCCGTACATTTACATCATGCTCCGGATTTTCAGCACTATTCCTGTGTCAGTTGCTGAGGGTGAACAATCATTTAGTAAACTTAAGATTATAAAAAACTCTCTCTGTTCAACCATGGGCCAGGATCACGTAACTGATCTTTTAATTATTTCAATTGAAGAAGATTTGGCTAGAAGGTGAGCTACGGCAATGTCATCGATATTTGGGCGGCCAGAAAAGCTCGAAAAATTCATTTTTAGCGCTTTATTTACCTTTCTCGAAGAATTTAATGATTGACTTTTCGTTTATTGATTTTAAAACTAATATTTTGGTTAATATCAGTTTTGATTAATGAACCGTTTCTCAATCCAGAGAATTAATAGTAACGTAGAAATACAATGTGCTATATTAAAAATAGATAACTGCTGTGTTCACAAAACTTTAAACTTTTAATTTCTGAGTTTGAAATAGGGGCGCCATTCTCCATTTTTGACCCGGGCGTCTTTGCCCCTCTCGAAGGCCCTGGATTTGGGACTGGGTTAGGGTTTGGGGAAGGTATAAATCAGAAAATAATGCGCTTAGCATTTTTTAACAGTTTTGCATTAAATTGCTGATAGAAACCAGGCTTTTTAAAAATCATCTTGGAAAAGAATTTTTATATAACCGAGAATAAAAAAAATGGCGAATATTAGCGTTTTTTAGTGTAATTTTTAAAACTTCAAGATTGATTTAGAGCACTTTCTGTTAATTTTCAGACCTATGTTTATGACCTTCTGTTAATTTTCAGACCTATGTTTTATACGGTTCTTAATCAGCATAAAACTCTCTATCATAATCAATAATAAAATTAAAAAAAAGGAAGAGGGGGGGGGGGGCAGAAACTGTAGTTGCGCCGATGTTTCTTCATAGCATTTTTCAATACTGCATTTGAATAATCTTGTATTTCGTATTTTTTTTGTGTCTGTTCTTGATGGTTTTTGAATTAAATTTGAATCGGCTATGAGGGGTATTGCATTTTTTATTGACATAAAAGAGTAATGTTTTTGAAATTTTTTATCAGCTTCTTTCAATAAAAAACTTACACACTTTTATTAAATTATTTGTTTTTAATTTCATTGAACAAGAGATAACTAGCTTTTTTTTTGTAAACTTTTTTAAAACAATTACAAAAATGTTTAGAGCTTTCTGCTGTTTTGAAAATGAAACTAGCTAGAATAATGTTTTTAAAGTTAACCGCAATAAAGGAATAAATTATTTTTTAAGATGGCCAAATAAGTCCGAGTATTTTAAAATGTAATACCGAGTATTTTAAAATGTAAATACCGACAACAGTTTTTTTAATGGGGTTAAAAGTTGTATTAATTTAAGTAAAAACGACTTCTGTATAAAGAACTGCAATACCATGATGTATCTAAATCTAACGTGAATCTGTTGTTAAAAATACTCACTAAGGTGTGGTATTAAAAATAATAATTCATTGATATTAACCCCAAAAAATAGTCTGATCATAAATGTCACGTCACATTAGGTGAAAATAAACACCGATACGTGCTTTTACAAAAAAATTGATTTCAAAGACTCATCTATAGCCAAGCCCCATGGTATTTTGTGTTCAAGTTTTTATTTTTTCTAAAGAAAACTGCGCTTGCCAGCTTATTAGAATCGCATTACTTTTACTAGATTATGATAGAGGTTAAAAAAACCTTTCTAACGATACCAAACATGTAATACTTTTTTATTAAAGTTTTTATATATTTTGCAATTGAAAAAAACGTATATTTATAGTAGGAAAATCGTGTACCATGCCTTAGTCACATTGAGTAAACAATAAACCCACTTTAGAATGCTGTAAGTAAAAATTTGTAATAAAATCTCAGGTATATAAAAAATAAAATTCATGTGTGAAAATGTGTGAAAAAATCTTACGATGTTTACTTGTTAATGAAAAACGGCAAATTTACTTTATCAAGTTTTGATTAAACTCAAAAATATCTAAAGACAGGGGAAATTTGAAAAATCTCTACTTAGAAAACAAAAAACTTTTTAAAACTAAAACCCTATTAAACTAAATTAAAAAAATACCAAATCTTATTCACATAATAAATAAATAGTTGCAGAATCTATTTTTATGTGGGGACGAAAGAATTATTTAATTTACTTGTACTTAAACAATTCTGAAACATTTAAAATTGGATAACTTTATCAATTCTAAAGCAAAACGTCGTCCCCAAACAAATTATTGTAGTACATCCTTTTCTAAAAAAAATAACATCTATATATACGTATATACTATTAATTTTCATGGGTGGGTTTTCATGGGTGGGTTTTTATGGGTCGGTTTTCATGGATGGGTTTTCATGGGTGGGTTTTCATGGGTGGGTTTTCATGGGTGGGTTTTCATGGGTAGATTTTCATGGGTGGGTTTTTATTCTTCTACACATACATAAAATCATTTCTAGCGTTTTTTAGCCGAAGTTTTTCAAAAGCAAACTAAGTATTATTTTTCTGCGATAAAATGTCACGTGACAAAACTCCCTACTCTAATTAAACCAAGTATATAAAATTTTTAGGGTTTATAAAACCCTAAAAACAAGTATATAAAACCCTAAAAACAAGTATATAAAACCCTAAAAACAAGTATATAAAACCCTGAAAACAAGTATATAAAACCCAAATAACCTTCCTAAGTCCAGCGAAAACCGCCACGCCAAAGAGCAAAATGATCTCCTACTTATATTTTTAAAATAAGTTTTGCGTTACCTAATTTATGGACGATCCCTAGTGCAAAGTTTCATAAATAAAGTTTTTTTATTAATAAAAGACAGAAAAAAGTTAAATTTAATTGTATGTCAAATCATCTGTTGTTGATGGGAAATGAAATAAACTTTTTAAATATAAGGTGGTTTATTTAAAAAAAGAAAACTTTGACTTGCTAGAGTATAGTGACCTTTCGTCTCACATTAGATGGGGCTGTTCAAAAAATAATTATAGAAGACTTTTTAACAATCAATTCCAATCTACGACAAGAAAATAACAGATTAGAGGCCGTCCATAAATGATGTCAGTAATTTTTCCCAGATTTTTTGACCTCTTTTTCCATTTTGTCAAACTCTTTCAATGTTTGGCCGCACCCATCCTTAAAATTTATGTCACTTTTAGTTACACCCCTTCCCCTAAATAAAATTCAAATTGCGTATTTACAATCAATTTATTTATAGTATAGTTTTTTACATATTTTAAAAATTTGCTCATAGATGGCGTAAAATATTTGAAAGTTTTGAACCCCCAAGTAAAATTTGCACCCCACTCCCCTCACGCCCAATTGAATTTTTTTGAGTTTTTTAGTTATTGAGCTAATTATTGATAGAGTAAATGCGGATAGAATGGAACAGTTATGGCCATGTTTATTCTTTTTTATTTATTGAATAAATTTACTTATTTATTGATTAAACATTTTGCAACTATTTTTTGATCAATGCAACTATTTTGTGAAGAATCTTTTTAGAATAAGATGATATAAAATTTTAACACAAAATAAATAATTTTTTTTACGAATGGTCATGTTTTTGGCCGCGTAATAACTTTTTTTTTTTTTTTTCTTTTAAATGGGCATAAAAGTGCAATAAATCTAAAACATATCCTCGTATAACTTTTTGCGCTGGTCAAAAATTTTCAAAATTAAATTTGCTATTTCTGGTAAAAAGGTATGAGAAGCGGTGAGCTATGAAGTTAATTGCGCCATTTATTCGCTTAAATACGCCAATTATTCGCTGTGAAATAATGCTTAGGGCACATAAAATTAAATTCATCAAAAAAAAAAAAATTCATTAGAAAATTTTTATTTACTAATTATGTCTAAACTGAACAATGAACTATTATGAATTCTTTTTTCAACTCTTAAACCCATTATTGTTAACCCTATTCTAATATAACAGGCCCGTAGCAACCAAGGGGGGGGGGGGGAGGTGCATCAGGGGCAATCCCCCCCCCCCCCCCAATAATTTTTCAATAAACAATTTTGAAAAAGTTGACTGAAAAATTACTAAAAAAAAAAGGTTTTAAAAACTATTTTGGGGCCCCGTAATCCAGCACTGCCCCCCCCCCAATATAACTTTTGTTCCTACGGGCCTGTATAAAACATGCCTAGGAAAAAACCTGCACGCAAAAAAAAACAAAACATACAACGAAGACCAAGTCGTGCCTCAAAATCTATTTAGCAATCTTTTGGGCAAGGATGACATTGACAAACAACGTTGCTTGTGCAAAGTTGTTTGTCAATGTCATTTGAAGGCCAATGATCATTCAATGATCATTTCCTTATTGGTATCAATCATCTTTTTAAGATACTTAAAACTGCTTGGATAAAAGCTGTTAAGTAGCCAGCTGTCCTCCACATTTAACTGAACCCGTATCATGGGGGCTAGTTCGAGAAGAAACAAATGCACAAAGCCTCTTAAAAATGTGGTTGTACTCCAACAACTTGTTGATACAAACTCGGTTCTTCACATAATTAAAACATTCTAAATTTTTAATTTAGTTGTAAAATCTTGCTTTGGATTAATCCTTTACTCAGATTTTGCTTAAATAATTGACAATTTTGAAAAGTGTTACTTAATAATGGTGCAGAAGTAAGACCCAAAATTCACACCGTTTTCTACCAAATCAAAGATTTCATCAGTCGTAAAGGGTTCCCCTTGCGACCCTATAGCGAACAAACTGTCAAAACTTCTCATCAAGACTTTTATAAACATTGGTTAAGGTATAAAGGAAACAATAATCATCCAGAGTACAAAGAAAAATTGTTATTCTGCGTAACTGATCTGAACAGTAAGCTTCTTTAAAGAACTGCTACCATAATTTATTTAGTACATTAGGCAGCATAAATTCATAATTTTTATTTAGGTGTCTCAAGAGGTCCTTACGGTCTTATCACAGAGCACTGCGGAAGAGCATTTATTAAGAAGTTTACGCCTCCTTCTTAACCAATGTTGCAAAACTTGCCTAGAAGTGGAATTTGAACCACGGATCTTTTGTTTTTAAGGCAAGTGCGCTTCCGCTGCGCCACGGCTGCTCGAATTAAATTATTAATAATTTTTTTTTGTGGAGAAAATTCAAGAACATACCTTAAAATGTAATCAGATGCTATTTGATGGTAATACAATGGCAAAAAATTGGTTTTAAAAAGTTATTTTTTCACTTAATTTTGAAAGTAATTGTATTTAAGGAGGTTTCAAGTGTCGATATAAACTACTGCCAAAGTGCAAAAAAAAAAAAAAAAAAGCTGAAAAAAAAGTAAAAAACCTCCATTGACCGGAATCGGTCAAGAGAGATTTTGCACCTTTATTGTAGCATTTTTTAGCATTTTGACAGTAGTTAATATATTAGATAATGTTGAATATATTGACCAATAAACAATTATAATAAAAATTCAAAATTCGAATATCACAATAACTGGTAAGGTTTTGAGGTATAAGTAGTTAAAAACTGAAAAAATATAAACTAAAACTGGCCAGAGGCTATTTGCACCAAATTTTTTTAAATTATATCGAGTGGTTCTCATTCAGATGTTTTTTTATAGGCGCTCTATGAAGTCAAAAATTTACTCAATTTCAATTACTTCAAATTAAATTTTTTTCCGCGCACAAAATTAACACATTTCAAAATATGAAAAAGAGCGTACGGCAAGATAGCGTACGCATCTAACTATATAGAAGATAGCATACACATCAAAATACCCTGTGATCAGTAATGGATCTAGGGGAGGGGTATGGGGGTATGCATCCCTATCAGAATCTGAAAGTCCTAAATTATCTTAAAAAATGAGGACTTTTTTTTATATAGAAGACGCAAATGTGGTACAAAATACAAAATTATTTTACTCCCCCCCCCCCCCCCACACCTTTATAAAAAAAAAAGCCTCGATCCGTCACTACCTGTAATGCAAATCACAGGGTATCTTGGATAGGCTATTTTCTTTATAAGTTGCGTTCTTGGGTATATTGGATAAGGATATAGCTATATTGGGTAAGCTATATTGCAATATAGCTTACCCTGATTACGCAATATATTGGCGTAATCAGGATCCTTGATAGCCGTGAGAACTAAATGAATGAATTGAATTTTTTTGAATGAAATTAATTCGAAATAATAACTAATTTTCCTTTAAAAGTCCAAATAATAAATAACTCGAGCTTCTGATGGGGGAAAAACATCGCAAACAATTTAAACAATTTCATTTTGCTTGGATTGTTATGAAATAGTTAGAAAGTTACGATTAAAAGCATTTAATAGGTGAAAATATAATTTTTCGTTTAAAAACTATTATTTGATATGAATGATTCAAATTAGTATGCTAAAAAGGCTATACGGATAAGTGAAAAAGTTTATCGAGAGTTAAAAGCAAAAAATAATTTTTTTTTATTATTTTATTTTACTGAAAGGTTATTTCTTAAATACAAAAAAGCTTTTTTTTTTTGTGGATTAATGAGTTTTATTATCTCCAAACCTCTATAATAAAATACCCATTATAATGAATAATTCTTTCAAATATAATAATGGGTTCTCTTCTGGACTATTCCAATTATCAACTTATTTCTCTTCTTTCCAACTTAAGTAAACTGTTCAAACAAGCAACATTCTACAGACTTGAAAATCTTTTGTAGAAATATATCTTTTTAAAAAGGATCAGGAGCAATTGGTGTCATTCACAAATTGTGGATGACACCAATTGCTCCTAATCAACAAATCATTTAGAAACTTACAAAACTTTTAATTGCAATTTAGCTAACATTGTTCTAATCTCCTCTCCAATAAATTATCCTTTAACTCTAAAAAAAAAAAATTGTTATTTTAAAATCTTTTTAAACAAAAGTAAATAAACAATTAAGTTTCAGATAAAGTGGGGAGAAGCAGCTCGCTTTTTTAAATCTTATTATCTATTTCCAAAATAAAGCTCTAAAATTAATTTATTTGCAACATGCTAATTCAAAATGTAACATACTCTATTTTTTATCTAAAGTCTGTAAAATTGTGTGCCATTATTCAATTATCAAATTGCCTATTTGTTTGGAACCAAAATCATAATAACCTACCTCTTACATAAATCAACTTTTTTTAGTTATATGAAAAATGTTACTATATCCTACAATCTGCTTGTAGCTTTAAGTTGTCTGTATCTTATATATTGAATCTATACATACACAGTTGGAGCAATCTTCCTTTCCAACTAAAATCTTTAAATTCATTCTCAAAATTTAAAACTGCTCTCTTTATACAACTTTTTATAAAAATATTGTTTATAAATATTATACCTTTTTATATCTTATTATTTATAACCTCTGAGCTTTTATTTAACAAATATTTTTCTCTTTTCTGTTGTGTTAAATACTTTTGCTTAATTTATATCTTGCTATATGTTATATATGCTATATATATATATATATATATATATATATATATATATATATATATATATATATATATATATATATATATATATATATATATATATATATATATATATATATATATATATATGTATATATATATATATATATATATATATATATATATATATATATATATATATATATATATATATACACTTATGTAAAGAATCATAAACATTTTACTATTATTTTTTTCTAAATTGGTATTGTAACGATTTGATTTAGTATTTGTTTGATTAATTAAAATGATAATATTGGTATGTATACTTCACTAAGTAGCAAAATGCGCATTGTGATTCCAAAATATCAATCTGCATTTAGTTCAGAGGCATCTTACACAGTAAGTTAATTTCCTCACTTTTTAAAGTTTAGAAATATTTTAAATTATTATATTAATAATTTCTTTTCATTTTCTGTTTCATTTTTGTTTTGTGGTTCTGGTTTTGCCATAACTATATCTAGCGATTTTAACAATGTAGGCCTCAGCTAAACTTTAACAATACAAATAAACATACATACATATAGATGAAATTTAAAATTATTCTTATGAAATGAAATTTAAAATTATTCTTAATGAGAAGTATTTACATTCTAACAAGTTTGAAATGAAAATCCAAATTCTTCAACATTAAATGAAGAATATATTGACTGATTTGAAACTTTAAAAAATCTGAAGAAAAGCTTAAAATAATAAGGAACTTCATATCGCTGACTGTTTATGAATAAATATCTGATTCACTACGTTTTGAAAATGGGATTAAAGCTCTCAACATTGTATGTTAAACTGAAAAACAAAATATTCATGTAACATTAGTTAGCAATGCACAAATGGCAAACTCGAAACCTAACAAGAGATTGCAACTTTAAAGCAGTAACAGCCAATATTTACTACTATGAATCTACCAGAGATGCATTTATCACTGGTTCAAACCTAAGTGTGCTATGGCACACATTGGAAAACAAGACCCTCACACTAACATCAACATTTGACTAAGCATCCTAATTAGAGTTGCACACTCTGAATTTTATCAGTTGCGCATTCAAAATTGTATCTCGCATACCTCAAATCAATACAATGCGTAATATAAGAAAATATTACAAAAATTATCAACAAATTTCACCACTGACCACAAAACCAAATTACTTCTGTGGAAACAATCCACATTCCTGGTACAATGTTGAATTTGTTTCTTTGCACAGCAGCCTTGTTCATCGAGGTTTGTGTTTTGAAGTTTTAGAGTTGAGAAAGAGTTTTTTTTTTTCTCCTGATTCAATCCCAACAAGGCTGCAAGCAACCACAATTAATTTGGGACTTCCTAGTAAAAAAAAGAATAGATTAATAGAGCAAGGAAATGGTTGACAGAAGACTTGAGAAGTTGTAGGTTGTATGAGTCAGGAAAACATGAAGAAAGGAGAGAGTTCTGAAAGGTTAAAGTGCAGGGGAAAAAACTAGACAAGTAAAAAATTTTAGAGTATGCAGGGACAGATACAGACAGATACAAAGCCTAAAATGAATGAGGCTTTGAAGAATGATGAGTTGAGCAAGAATGATGGAACTAGAAATAATAGTTCCTATGAATAGTGTCCATGATAGCATTTGTAAAAAAGAGAAAAGAGAAATTTATGACGATTGGAAAGAGGCTCAAGCTTAGCAGGTATAAAATACGTTTATAATGCATTTTTGGACCTTGTCTAGAAGAGAAAGAGTATCATTAGAAGAACCTGCCAAAATATGATAAAAGTATTCTATACAGGGACAAATAAGAGATTTGTAGAGGTAGAGAATGGAATCAGGAGTAAGATAATGGCATGCACCATAAAGAGAAGCATTAATAGCAGATGCTAACTTTGCAACCTAATGCATATATTGCTTCCATGAGAGATCAGAAGTAAACAATATTTCAAGAAGACATGAAAAAGAGAACTCAGTAAGAGGGTTACCATTGATTGATATAACAGGCCTTGGCATTAAGAAAATTGTCCAGCACGATATTTCGCGTCTGTAAAACTTAAATATTTTTTTTATTATTACATCAAATTTATTTTAAAGAATTTCATAAGCTTTCAATTTTTTTTTTGTTTCATTCGTTTAATTAAGATATAAATTCATAATGTTTTCGCATCATTAAAACATTAAAACAATGAAATAACGATTTCTTTTCATAAAAACATATTTAATGTTTTTTCGTTGCTAACGCTAATAGAGCTTTTATAACTTTTTTAGCAAACATTTTCACAAATTTAAAATTTTCTTTTTCTCAAATAAATTTATAATTTTAATTACGTTATAAATAATATAAGTTATAATTTTAATAACAAAAGCTTTTAAAATTTAGTTAAATTTTGGCCAAAAACTTTTAGGTTAACATTTAGAAAATGAGTTTTTTTTAATGTTCTATTTTGACTGCCAAAACGCAATTAAAAATATGTGAATCACTATTCACTTTATTTTGTTTTTAATGATATGCAAACTGTTCCGTTCAAAACACAACGTTTTTTGTTTGTAGAAATTTGCGCTCCAATTTCAACAGAATGGCGTAAAGTTAACATGAAAAAATGAGTTTTTCAATTGAAGTATAACTTTAGCATTTGACCTCAATTGAAAAAATGCAATTAAAGATATGTGAATAGAGATTGTATTGTTTTTAACAATAAGCGAACTTTTTTGTTTAATTAAATGAGAATCTTTATCAAAAACTTTATAAAAAAAATTTATTAGTTTTCTCCCTCCCATTATTAGTTTTCTCCCTCCCAAATTTTTAGGACAAGCATAATTTTTTACTCTTGTAACTTGCATCTCATTTTATTATCTCCTAATGAGGGTACAGCATATATATATATATATATATATATATATATATATATATATATATATATATATATATATATATATATATATATATATATATATATATATATATATATATATATATATATATATATATATATATATATATATATATATTTATTTATCTATAACATTTTATACCTAAATTATAAGTGATTTAGGTTGATAGGAGTTAAACATCAAAATAAAACATTGAAGTTTTGGAAAGTGATGTGAAACCATGTAAGCAGATGTTGGAACATGAAGTTATATACAACATTTAATGATAATGAAACAGAAAAGATAAAATTTTGAGCAGAATTGTGTTCATTAGAAATTTATAAGCACAAAATAAGCAATTTTTAATTGTTTCGTTAGGATTTGTTATTGTTTAAAAAAAAAAAATTAATTTGTTAATGGTAGCTGATTTGAATATCTCAAAAGCAAAACAGCATGGAGAACAATTAACCATAATAATAATTTTAGCACATGTTCGACAGAAAAAAACTGAAAACTTAGGTTATTCTTATTAAACAACTTTTGTGTCTTTAAATTTACATTTATTAAATAAATTTATTTACAGAGCATGTTTTTTTAATTTGCGATGATTTTCTGAGAATATACATTTATTATTATTTGTTTTAATTTTTTAATCTTCAAGTTTAATAAAAAATTAGTTTATCAGTATTCTAAGAACATAAAAATTGGGAAAGAATCCGAATTAGAGACAAATAGACATGAAATTAAATCACTTAAAAATTAAACATTCTACGTTCTTTTTTTTTAAATAGCTTTCCTTTAATAAAAGTCTTTTTTCTTTTATAGATGCATTTTTTTTTTCCAAGTCGACTAACTCTTTTTTAGAAATGAAATAATCTCTTTCAGCTTGTAACTTTAAAACTTTTTCCTTAAGTTTTAACTTCTCCTCTGAAATGTAACTCTCTTAACTTCTCCTCTGAAATGTAACTAAAAGTTAAATGACGGAGACATGGATGAAAATCCAATAGAAAATGATGAAAATGATAATGAAGATATAGTAGCTGAAAACAATTTCCAATTTCGTGATGATTTTGCTTTGTGACATTTTTGAACATATTTTATCTGAATAAATTTACTCATTTTCAAATTCCTTTTTTATAATAATAAATGGTTTATTAATTTTGTATTTGTTGTTAATTTGTGATAGAGCGATAGAATTGTATAGAGTAACTCCATTTCATAGTTTTATGTAGCTCCAATTCAATTTTTTTGATGGTGTTTATATATTTTTTAACTCTAAAAATATAAAAAGTTTAATTTAAAAATATAAAAAATTAGTACTTAGTATAAGTCTAAAACGGTTATTATTCCTTAGTACCTAAAGCTTACTACTTTAACTTGTTTAAATTAAGTTAAAAAAATTATGCAGCAAACATTTTAAAAAATCACGCTGTGATGTACCATCTAAACAATATTATGTGCCAGTTGGCATCGTATCATTTGGATGCTATGTAAAAAACAGCACGAAAGTTAGCTAACAAAGCGGGCTTACGGAAGAAATTTAACTGACAAAGTTAACGGAGCGGTTAATAAACGGTGACTTAACGGAAGGACAAGAATACTATTTGTCTCCATCCGTTTTGTAACGGCCCGTTAACAATTTTTTTCTTAACGGTCACTTGAAATCTCCGTTAATTTAACGGAGAGACGTGAATACGGCTGCTGCTAATAACATCTTAAAAACCGAAAATACTATTTTTCTTTTTGGATTTAGTAAGAAATAGTAAAAATACTTTAGGTTTCATGGTATATTAAAAAAAATATTTTAATGTAAATAAAAAAAAAACAAAGCCAAATAGCGGTAATCTTTGTTTAATTACAATTTTTAATTTAATCAAAAGCCAGTTGACGCATAGGTTTTTTTTAAAAGGGAAAAACCCAATCTTTAAATTATCCAATTTGTAGAAGTACACTCAAATCCCTTTAAGAAAATCAACCATAAACAAGCGTCCACTCATTTAAAAAAATAACTGTAAAAATAATGTTTTAAAGAAAAAAAAGTTTAAATAAGTATAAGATTTTAAAATAAGGAAAATGTTTTTTAATCAATATATAAATTTAATTTATAACTTTTTTTTATAACAATATTGTTTTATTAAAAGATATTTCATTTAAAAGACTTACAATAATTTCTAAGGTGTTTTGGAATTTAATTATGAGGTATTTTAACGATGTAAATATCTTTATTTAATAAAGTTACATTTATTCAGGTTGCGCTTTTTCGTTATGCAATAAAAGCTCATAACAAGGCCTACATTCTCATCACCAAGTTCTCTAAAGCTATCATTCACTAATATTCATGGTCTTTGAAGTAATTTTTCTTTTGTTTCGCGCTTTTGTTAAGTTTTATCTTTTGCAAAGTTCACCAGACCTACTTGCTCTTTGTGAGACTAATTTAAGTTCGGCTGTCTCATCTTTTGATCTTAGTGTTGATGGTTATCTTTATCTAATTCGTAAAGGCTCCAATAGTCACA